GGTGTTGCAATGGATGGCAACGCCACGGAAGTCAGGTGAAAGTGCAACTCCCGTCCCACTTCCGCCCCAGTCCCCGGTTCGGCCCTGGTTCCGCCCCAGTTCCGCCCCACTTCCGCCCCACCTCCGCCCCACTTCCGTCCCACTTCCGCCCCACTTCCCCCCCACTTCCCACCCACTTCCGCCCCACTTCCGCCCCATTTCCGCCCCACTTCCGCCCCACTTCCGGCCGACTCCCGTCCCACTTCCGCCCCACTTCCGCCCCAGTCCCCGGTTCGGCCCCAGTTCCGCCCCATTTCCGCCCCAATTCCGCCCCACTTCCGCCCCACTTCCGTCCCACTTCCGCACTTCCGTCCCTACTTCCGTCCCACTGCCCGCAGTTCTCCCCAGCACCTCCTTCATGCGCCGTACGGCGCATTTTGTCAGCGTCCACCTTTTCAGCCACGGGCTCTCTGTCTCCAGCAACCCGTAGTGCTGCTTCTTGTCCCGCATTTCCTTTAGCTTGTGTCGTTCATATTCACTGCAAAGTGTAACGTGCGCTTGCACCTGCTGAAACGCTTCTACTGGCTTGTCGACATCTTTCCGCATCTGCTTAGTCTGATACCTGGTGAACGCCATGTACTCCGGACTCGTCTGAGAAGTCTGTTGGGTTTACCTCAAGGACTTCTGTGAGTCTTGCTGACCACATGTAGGAGTGCCAGGCGTGGCGAGCAATGTCCACATCGCCAGATTTCAGTAATAGAAGGATGTCAGCCATTTCCTCTGGCTCGAAGGTGTCAGCCTTTTTGATGAGTGTCTGGGTCATGGTTCTGGCCTTCTCTCTCCTCTTGCTCATTTCTGCAGCACTTGGCTTCTTCTTCTTCTTCAGCATCTCTTCAGCACCTGCGCTGGCCTTTGATTTCTTTCTGGCCTTTGCTTTCAGCATCTGCTTGTGCCACTGCGCCATTTTCGGCTGCTACTGCTGCTACTGTAGTGAGGTCACACGGCTCAATCACATTTCATTGTGTTCTCTGTTTTTGGTTTCATGTTGTTGCGCGCACGGAGAAACCAAAGGGAATCAAGGTCTGAAGGGTGCTTTTGCCCAGGAAACCAGGTAGTCGTTCAGATGAATGATTCAGCTGTTGACTCCAAAAACATATTCAAAGATGTTTTTTTTCAGAACGGGTGCTCCTAGGAGATGTGTTTCATGCAAAAAATGATGCAAAAACACTGTGTTTTACAGTGATTTCTTGCAAACACCTCTCCAAAATTGAGGTTTGGAGCTATTTTTTGATCAATTTTGTGAGATCCAAGCCTATCCCAGTTTAGAGAGAATACTTAAAAAAACAAAAAACAATAAACCACAAAACCAATAAACCAAAAAAACAAAAAAAACAATAAACCAAAAAAACAAAAACCAAAAACAAACAAACAAACCAAACAAACCAAAAAAAAACAATGTTTGCGAGAAAATAGGGGCTTGGATCTGACAAAATTGATCAAAAAATAGCTCAAAACATCAATTTTGGAGAGGTTTTTGCAAGAAATCACTGTAAAACACAGTGTTTTTGCTTCATTTAAGTTTAACGGTGGAATTTGATTTTACATTGGATTTCATTTGACTTTGGTATTAGACTTCAAATAAAACACTTTCAGAATTATTGGTGGAAGTTGATTTCTCATTAGCTTTCTATTAAAAATATGCTTAAGATTAATTGTGGATTTTTTTTAATAGACTATAAGTTTCAGGCATATCATTTTCACAATCATTGGGGAAATTGATTTTTATATTAGATTTCAATTAACATTTCTTCAAGATTAATTATAGAAAAATGAATGTGTAGTTCAACTTCGATTAAATTCCTTTTCAAGATCATTGTGGCAATTGATTTTGAATTAGATTTCAATTAAAAACCTATTATATTTCATTGTATAGAAACTAGTCATTACTTAAATGTCAATTAAAGTCCTTTTCAAAATCATTGTGGAAATTGCTTGTTGTTTAGATTCTAACGTTATTTCTTTTCAATATAATTTGATCGAATTGCTTGTGTATTGGTTATCAATCAAGACCCTTTTAGAATTGATTAAATTAATTTCTGTTAACAGTTAATGGTAGAAATCAATTATTATAATTCGATGTTAGTTAAAGTCCTTTTATTTGATGTTGCCTTGTAGTGGGGAGCAAACAGATACAAAATCAATTCAAGTTAGTTAAGCATCACAATTTACACAATTATAGAATCCTAAATCGATTTTAAACACAATGTGATATTTAATCAAAGCCACCACTAACTTTGAAACGGACTTCAACTAAAATCAGTACTAAAATCTAATTGTAAGAACTAGTTTCCACAATGAGTTTTAAAGAGAACTTGGAAAGGATTTTTAGTGCAATCTAATATCTAATAAATAGCAATTTCCACAATCAATGTTAAAAAGGATGGTTGAAATCTCCTAATCTAAGTTTACCTAATTCTATTTTAATTCTAGTTTAGTTAGTTTAAGAAAACACATGTTACAAAACCCTATATTTTACCAGTGTTTTTTGCACGAGGAGTGCTGGGAATAAGACAAAAACTATGTTTTTGAGTAGATAGTTTTTGTTTAAAGTAATCCCTTGGAATAATCATTTCTATATTAAAACTGCTTTATGTACAAGCTTCTAATTCAAAAGGTTCCCTCTAGATCTGATCACTTCTGTGAAAAAATATAAAGCTTTCATTTCAAAAGCTTTCCTCTGGATCTCTGGAAATAGTCATGGTGTTTAAAAAAGCTATAAGTATGTATGTCAGTGTTTCTTTTCCTTCAATCAAAATACAAAAATCTAGGAAATCTACTTTCCCAGAGATCCAGAGGAAAGCTATTGAATCTAGAGATGTATGGTATTACAGTATATCTTCATTCGCTCATGATGCTACATTCATTGTGGGCAGAGAGAGATTTACCTGATAATATTTATCATTGGTGTTGCACATTGATAGTGGGCAAACGAAGAGCTGTTATTAGTTATGTGTTGTCATTGACATTGGACATGGAGACTGGGCACAAACAGATCAAACAAATTGCGTTTCGCCTAGTTTTTGAAATTTTGCACGGTATTTACAGTGTTTTCTAAGGGTTTTGAGCTAGTGTGTGCTCTCCCAAGCACACCCACCCTCGTTATTTTTGGGGTGTTCTGATCGAAGCAAGATCTTCCACATAGAGATGTCATGTACAAAGGGCTGGGGACCGGCAGAAGTATAACTACCAGCACCCGACTCTACAGGTCTCCTCTGGAGGCTTTTGCTGACCTAAAAGTCGCTGTTGGAGGGTGCTGGTCTATGGTTGACTGTTACATTTTCAATGGTCAGCTACTCACAAAAATTTGTTCAAAGACCCTCTAACAACATTGGTAAATGGTACCATCTACCGATCGGCCGATCGGAGTTCGCCGCTTGAGTCGCCTGGAGTCTACCCTCAGTGTCTGACCGCCTGGGAGTGGCAACCTCTGTACATAGAGCAAATATACCTGTATCACATACTTCATGTATGGAATATATGCCTACATTGACCCCCCAAACCACCCCAACTGATCGGCATATATGGCAGTCCCATGGAGTGTATGGGTGTATCACATACTCTGGAAGTACATGCCTCCGTTGTATGCATCTTCAGCCCCATCATGAAATTCCCAGAGTCGCTCAGCCCCGCAAAAGGGGTGCCGCTCTGTTTTCACAGTAGAAGAAAAAGAGGTGACTGCACCAGTGTCAACACTGAAAACAGAACCCACAGGTCATGCCCATCTCTTTGTGGGTTCAATTACTCCTTGTGTCTCTCATCTTCCGCCAATCTTCCCATCTTCAGCACCCGGACCCCTACCGACTAGGAAGCCCTGCCGATCGGTTCAGGTACCATTCAGCACCTGGCGCGGTGCGGTGACGGTGCCCCACCGGATGGTTCAGGCTCCGAAAAAACGGACCACGAAGAAACCCCAGAGAGCAAGGACCTGAAGCTCTTTCAGGGGTGACAGTCCACGAGTCCCAATTATTGGACAAATGTAATGAAACGTTTGTCAGTATATCTGAGCAGTGCCTCAAGTCACTTCACTCGGGATGCATGAAATGGTTGAATGATCTGCACCTTGTATCACCAGAAGTAGCCTAAAGGTACTCGGTGGCCGGTGCGGCTTTAAGGACCCGGGCATGTCGGACACAACGATGCACCGAGTTTCGGTTGGGATGTCCTCCCTATCGGCGTTGCGCAGACTCATCGGCGTCGAAGAGGTCTTAGACAGGTTGAAGGGCTTCCTCAAACACAAGAAATCCTTTGAACCACATACTGTTTGTGTGAGGTCAAATTGTACCCGCATACCGCCAGCATCCGCATAGCTGCATCATCAAGGTTATGGTTAAACGGGTTAGATGAACATTCATTCAGTGGGGACTATATCGTGTTTCGCAGAAACATCACCCTGAGCATATATAGGTCAATGGTCGCCTCGCGAATGCCCCCCATGCTCCACAGGTTTGCCATCTTGAGGGTGATGCAGTGAATTATTTGAAAATTGGGAACCAAACCTAGAGTAGAGACCTGCAGACCTCGAGTAGACCTAGCATTATATTAAAAACAATAAAACAATACAAAACACATAACCCCAATGTAAACAACTGTTGTTGTGGCCCTGTACACTTCTCTAACTAAGAGAAGCTCATCTAGACAATTCCTGACCATGAAGATCTTCTAGCGTGCACAAAGCGGTGAAAGCCATGCGGGGCCATTGAACACACCCGGAACGCGCGCGCGGGCAGGTCTCTTCTCCCTTCACCGTTGTTCGCCGGAAAAGATCCGAGTCGCGACGCTCCGAGAAATCACATGCTTAACTGCTTAACTTTGATGGAAACACCAAAACCACCTCCGAGTTTCTGGAGGTCGAGGCATGTTTGACCAAACCATGTGATGCACTTGAGAGAGGAGGGGGTGAACGAAAGGTAGCAGGCAATCACAAGTAACCCTGGTAGAAGTCCATGACGGCGTGAACCGGCGCAGGGCGCTTTTGATCCAGGGGGGCCCCCCCCCCCCCGACAAACAGAATCAACTCTTACAGGACCAAACTCAATGCACAATCCCAACTCCTGATTGTAATACATTTTTGCTAAAGCAAGGAGAACTGAGGTAGCTCAAGCTACCTTTCGTGATTAAGATGCAGACAGCTTTTTGGCCGGTCAGTGAAAGGTTTCCCCTCTTTGGGCCCTTGAAGGCTCCCAGGGCGCCGCTGTGCGCCTCGAGTCATGCTCTTCTCGATGAACTGCCAATCCTCAGGTCTCACGTCTCTATACCAGGGGCCCCCGAAGGGGTGGTTCAGTGATGTTCAATGTGGTTCATGGATACCCCTGACACCTCTAAGGAGCTACACTTAGACACCCCAAACTGGGGGGCCCTGGTTATATAGTGTGAATCCAAAGAAGTCTGCACAGTTCCAAGAATCATGTCACTGCCAACATGACAATTTGTGCCGCCCGCCCATTCTGAGCAAACGAGTGCCCACGCAACATGAACACGTCGGCCTAACATTCAGCCTATCAGTGCCTCTCTTCCGTCCCCCATCGGCGTTCCCAAGCGCATCGACTGAATCTGAGCTCTCAGCATCGAAGAAGGTCTCACCCTCAGCTTTCCACACCATTTCCTCAGTGCGCTTGAAAAATTGAAGGACCTGGACCTGACCTCAAAATCGCGGCCAGTGCGTCGACTGAAGCGATTTGACGGTCTTTCCTTACTGACCCACGCCACCCCCCCTTGGAGCCAGCCCACCCAGAGTGCTTGAATCCGTTCGAGGTACCTTCCAACTTCGAACCCATGTGGCGAAACCGAACGCCCGGAGCCTGAAAAACCGGCGGATTCTCCACCCAAAGGAACCATCGCGGCTGATTCTCCTTCCTAACAAGGTCCGTTCGGTCCGATGTTGCCCTGTTGCCCTGTTGCCCAACGAAAGGGTCAGCTCCGGTTCGCTCTGCGCAGCACCAGCGCAGCCGAACCAGCAGCGAGTCTGCGAGGGCCATGAGAGCGTCCCAGGCATGACTTAAGAGATACATCGCTGTGTTGCTTCAGAGCTCTGTGAGCCACAAGTAGAACAAACAAAAAACCTTCCGCCATAGCCAAGGCCTTTCACGAAACCATCTGATTAGCATTAGCATGCTTTAAATTAACGATCCGCCGAATCTGCCTGCTTAAAAAAGCAAAAACATTGGTCATATTTGGTCACATTTGTTCTATCTGTTTCCTGATTTGTTTTCCTTTGTTCACCCCCTTTTACACAAAACATATCACCCATGTGATAATTCATGACAGTGATAATTCATTCCCAGACTTTGCGATCGCCTTCTGCGGGGTGTTCTTCATCTGCGATTGCCATTCAGGTTTGGGGAAGACCGTCAACGGGCAGGTGGTCTCCACCTCTATAGACACCAAACGAAGCGGACGATGCCGAGAGACCGGGCACCGGTCTTAGCCGGTTCCGGTTTCAGCCAGGTCTCGTATTCGTCGTGAAGGCTTCCACAACCCGGTGCCTGGCCACACGGCTGGCTCACTGCGTGAGCTAGAAACAAAGCCAATTCATGCAATTCCTGGTTGTGTCCCCCCGAACTCAGGGAAATCCACAATGATAACGGTGTTGAGAACTTTGTCAGACTTGATCTATACCATTTAGTTCGTGACAGTGTTCTGCCGAGGGAACCCAAACAAAGTACAAAGACTGGTACCTTGTAAAGCACCTTGCTAACTCTCCCCCGGCCACACCGGGATGCCTCTTACTGCACTCGAAAGAACGGAGTGCACGGTAAGGCCAGGTATACGGACAGGTTTGTGAGGAACAATGTAAATGACGGCTCTTCACTCCGACTCATTTCTCCATGACGCAGTCACAATGACCTCCACTTGTTCCACTTGTTCCGTCCATGGCCGCCCTCTTCAACTGGAGCGAGCCTCCATGTGGCCTCCCACCGCTCCAAACCGCTCCCAAAACCGCCATCCCTCCATCCCATCCCTCCGTCCCGCAGCCGAACCGAGTCGATGGACGAGTTTCGCAGCGCCTCTTTGGCCACGAAGGGTGGCACGTTGGCGCCCTCGGAGCGGGGACGAGGTCGATCGATCACGGCATCGGACGGCGAACGCGAGGAGGAAACCGCCGCCTCCTGGTGGGTCGCTTGTGTTTCGGGAGGAAGAGTGAAAAGCCACGAGTGAATCGAACATCTGGATCGAGACAGATCGAGACATACACTGTTTTGGGGGGAATCAAAGGTGGTGACGTGGAGAACGTGCGGCCCACGAAGACTGGGATGACTATGAGAGCCGAAGACCAAATAGGTGGTGTTCACTTCACTTCCATGATTATTTCAGGGAGGTCTCGGGAGTGTAGATACTTTTTGGATGAGGTGGCAAATGTTGCGACATGCTTCATTCAACACGGCCGAATTTTGGGTCAGGTGTCGTCCATCTGCGAGAATGAGGCTGGAACCTTGAGGCTGGACGTGCAGTGAATTCGTAAACCCTTTTGCGGGGAAGGTTTATAACTTAGAATAAAACACACCCCAATTGGATTGAACAACCTCATGGGTTTTATTGATCAAAAGTCTACATTATGTAGTGCCTCAAAGAAACAGCATTGGACCGTCCAATGTTCAGAGTGAGTGTCCCAAAACCTTCCCATCAATGTATCTCGAGACAAACATATCCGTAATATATCCGTGCTTTGGTAGACAAACATATCGTGCTCTGTTGGCTAGGAAAGAAACGACGGAAAGAACAAAGGGACAAACACTGCAAATGTGGCAGCATGGGGACCATGGGGACCATTACTTTTTGGAAGTTTGTTGGGGTGAATCTAGTCATGGTCAGGTTCATGCGCAAATCATGTGGGGCGACACCCCTGCCCTGCTTGGTGACCCTAAGCGCGGCGCCGGCGGAAGCTTCTTGGTAAAGCCAGCGCCTGGCGCCTGACAAACATTGTGGTGCCTCTCAAAAAGCTCATGTCATGTGACCTCTTAATATACATTTTTTGTAGATCAATATGATCAATAGCAGGAAAAAGGCAGAAGAGTGGCATGGATCGTCAGTGCACTGGCAGGTTTGGACTCCAAGTGAGGCAAAGCTATCCATCCTGAATTCCAACAGGCTTCGGGATAACATGCAAAATATGCCTGGGGAGCATTATAGGGTACGGTCAATAGCTATTATTTATTAATGTATATACATCGTCAAATTAAACTATGTCAAAAAAGATTGGAACCTTGTTAGAATGTGTTTTGTATGGGTGTGAGGGGCCCTCTCTTGTTTGTCAGGGTTTGGAGCAGCATATGGCATATGAATGCAAAGTTCTGATGCAATTGTTACTTGTAATCATTGCAAATATTGAATGCAACACATTCAAAGGCCCGCTGCAGCGTGGAGGTTGAAGCTGAACTATAGATCAGTATATAACTGTACACTTCAAGAATCACACATGGATGCAAAGTTTTCGAGGTTGGCTCAATCCAAAATAATGAAATACATGGAAAACCTTGTTCTTCAAAGTGACCAAACTTGATCTCCTGGTTTGAGGTCACTTGGGCCGGCACAGGGTCACTTGGGAACCTCAAAAAGGTCACTTTGAAGAAACTGGAACATAGGATAATTTTGTGTGCTTCGTAGTACATCTTCTTTAAGGAGTCAACATAGCGGATGGACTTAATTCACTTCCAAATCATTTTTCGTTCGTGATTACGCGCGATGACGGTGCACAAAGAAGGCTGGAACTCCACACCATTTGGAATGGCAGTGCTTTTCGGTTCAAACCTGGTGAGTAGAATTTGTCATATCTTATCTTAGGTTTCTTAGAGCTTTTTTTATGGCGGCTAAATACTAAATAGTTGAACCAAATCCCGCCGCTTGCGTGGAGGATTCACTTCTGGAGCATGGAACATCACTGCATCACGAACCCACTTGCCATTCGCAAGTGCACGGGAATACACTTGCCACCCGACAGATACATGGACGATACACAAGATCCCGATAGGCCTTTTCCGACAGGCTGACCGGATAATCAATGAATCGAATGGCAGCATCAAAGAAAAAGGTATGGTGCATACAATGCACATATTTCCCTGACTGTTGGACAATTCATAATTCAACACCGCGGCGAAGCACCGCGCTTCGAGGACCGGACTCGACACCCTGCCTTGCACATCCGCGGCCCAGAGACACAGGAACCGCTTGCAGGTCCGTCATACTTCCTAGCCGCGGGGGTTTTGGACGTCGAAAAGGAACACAAACATGTGCACAAATGAGGGACGCATGGCCCATGGCCGCATGACGCATGAAAACCGAAGGATGTGGACCTATTCAATTTGTTTTGCTCGTGTGATCGACGATGACCAGTATACTAATATGTATATATAGTATATATCTCTTGTTTTGCACTCCACGCGCCAAATTCTAGGGTATGACCAGCAGTTTCAGACCCCCCTCTGAGGCATGTGATGCAATTGTAACGTGGAACTATTGCGGATTTGTAGATGTCGCCTGTCCGTTTCCGGTTGCTCGGTCCAACCATGTCCTGCCCAAAAAACGTCGCACTGTGGCATTTCCAAACGGCTCGACACAAACAGCAGCACAGGACCCGCCGCCCCAGCGGGGTGCTCCGCTCGGTCCTGGAATAGGAAGAATAGCTGGTGAGCAAGCAGCCGCCGGACGACCAAAAGGAGAAATGCCTCGACCGTTGACCCGCACGGGGATGTCCAAAGAGGAAAGGGTTACTCAAAAAGAGCTATAGGCTATAGGAGGCAAAATCCAGATTGGTGACCCCCAATACGCCCTCTTACCGCTGGCTCAATCTCCACTGAGAAGAGGGAGACACGAAAGGTAGGGAAATTGGAAGGAGTACGGGGGGGAACCACAAGGCACGCACACTTCCTTCCCAAAAGAAATTGATCCGATGATATGGATCCACTTCAATTCAAAGCGGTTTGGTGTAAACGGTGGTTTGGTATAAACGGTGGTTGGTGTAAGCCGTGGTTTTGTGTAACAAGCGGTTGTAAAAACCTTGGTGTGGTGTAAACAGTGGTGGGTGTAAGCCGTCGTTGGGCGTGAACGGTGGTCGGCATAAACGTGTTTTGGTGTAAACGGCGGCTAGTGTAAACTGTAGTTTGGTGTAATCGGTGAGTGGTTGGTGTAAAACGTGGTGCTTGCACACGGTGGTTGGTGTAAGTCGTGGTTTGGTGTCAACGGCGGTTCGTGTAAAACGTGGTGTGGCATCAACGGTGGTTGGTGTAAGCCGCGCAGGAGCGGTTGTGTTTTGAGCGGGAAGTGAGGACGACTCGTACATTCTATGACTACACTGCTTACGCTGACTACGCTGGGCAGGCTATAATTATGCTGTTTACGCTGGCTGCGCTGGTTAGGCTGGTTCGCTGGTAGCGCTGGTTACGCTGGTGTCAACAGTCCAGCTCCGGTTCTGGATGCTTCATCGCAAACTGAATGTCCATCCATGAGGTTCATCTTCCCTCCAATCAGAGTGACTTCACTGCAAGCTTGTAATTTCTTGTACAGGGATCTCATGTTAACACATTTTCCGTAGTTGAGTTTCATGTTGTAGTAGGAGGATACCCTTTCTATTTCTTTGAGCAATCTATTTATTGAAGGCGTGTGGTCGCCAAAAGTTAGAGTGTCGTCGGCATAGAGTATTGCTGCAACAGTTATTCCTTCAAAGGGTTCTTTCTGTTTGGGCGTGGACAGCCTTGTGTTTATGTCTGAGAACATCGTGGACATGAGCATGGTGAAGAAATAGGGGATCACGGGCATCCTTGTCTTATGCCTGAGTTTTGTGCAAGCCAGCTTGATTTTCCTTCATTGCAGGAAACTTGGAATTGGGGACTTTCATAACTGTTGCCAATTAATGACAATAATTTGGAGGGAACTTCTACCCTACCGAGGGTTCAAGTAGCCGTGCTTGGTGTACTTGTTCAAAAGCTTTCTCCCAATTCCAATAGAATAATTTCTAGATTCTTCCCACTAATTTCGGCCATACTTTGCAACCTCCTTGCGACGAAGATTGCGTGACTTGTGAATCTGCCTGCCCTGAAGCCATAATGTGTGTCCATGATCCATTTGTCTAGCCCTTCGGAGAGGCGGTGCTTGATGAGGGCCGCAATGATCTTATAAACAGTTTGTGGATGTAGTTTCAAGTTTGCTCGAGGCCCCTTATATACAGGATATATATAATAATGAAAGTGACAAGGGTTCCGGGATATCCACAGGGAACAACCACCACAACCTTCCTAGGGGGAGGTGTGAGGAAAGGTACCCAATTGTGTGGATGACCCTAGAACGGGTTGGAACACGACGAGGGACCCCTGAGGGCTTGGTCCCCGTTGTGTTGGAGTGGGATGTGAGTTAGGGGAGGGAGCACCTACGGCAACCGACCCGAAACCAAACACAACCCGAAGGCAACGAATGCGCGAAAGCAAGTGCACCGGCACGGGCGAGCGAACGCGAGCGACGTGACGGATGCTGAAAACAAGCAGAGCGCCCGTTTTGATGATATAATATCCTCAGACCATAAATGCATGAATCAGCCATTCCAGTTGGTAAAGCTCCCTCGACCATGAGAGACATGGAACTGCTGGTCCTGCAAGCACCTCGTATCGTGGCCTTCTCCAGCTCTGCACTTTAAACAGCAGTGTTCTAACTCAATTGTTCTTCCTTCACCAGCTTCCCCCAACTGCATCGATCGCAATTCGGGCATTGCTTTCTCAAAAGTTTGAATTTTCCCCTAGTTAGATATTCATCTGTCAAGGTTCTCTCCTCAAACAAAGAGAACTTTTCAAGCCCCCATGAACTTGGAAGTGCCTTGTGACACACTTGAAGAAAATCCAAAGCATCAAGCTCTGGAGTATCAGCACTACGCAGATCCCCAGGCCCAGGTCAAAGAAGACCCAGTCACTCTTGTCTGCATTGGGCTCGATCTCAAAGCTCTCTGCCGACTGGAGAAGCGTCAGCAAAGCCACCATCAAGGCATGGCGAGTCATGCCTTTCCCCACTGTGCTCACTGTGGTGCAGGAGATAACGGTGGATATGGAGATCGGTTAGCACGCCCATCAGTGCGTGGGGCGGATCGAAAGTGTAGACCTCCGACCAAAAGGATTGATCGGCTGATTCAGTGGGGGGTGGTGCCGGTGTAGTAGCTGGAGGTGGAGAGGTCGCAGGTGGTGGTCTCCCGTTTCTTTCTTTCCACCTTCTAAAGTCTCGTCTTTCTGAACGTTCTCCTCGACGTCTTTTCCCAAGAAAGTCCATCCATCTTGCGCCATGGTCTCCCCTTCTCAAATGTCAGGTATGAACTTTCTTGAGCCAAAATATGTCAAGGTGACATGCGGTCTTGTGCTGTACATGTTGTCCACATAGCATGACAAGTTAGGGGCTATACTTGTGTGCAAAACTTCGACTATGATACAGTATATTGATACTATTCTTGCTTCATGTAGTGATGGTTCGGGTGTACCCTTTTCTAACATTTCGTTGATACCGTGAAGGAGATATGTTTCTGGAGTCCAGATATAGTAGATCTTTTGCTATTACTTTGCTTTTCAATTACTTTGTCCAGTTTTCGCAGCGTGAAGTGGCCATCGTTGATGGGGAACCGTCCTTGCCTGCGTGAGACACGAGGGGTTTACTTTTGAGGGGGGAAGGTTTACTTTGTCGATCTTCCATTGTTCATTTTCTAGATATTCAGCGGCCTTCTGAGGGTATTGCGTGCTGTCAATTTGTCTTCCCTGATTGTCTTTAAACTTAGTGAATTTCAAAGTCGGTCGTGCCCTCATTCTTTTTAATTCGGTCCTTTTATGTCAATTTATATGTATTTCCTTGCATTTCTTCTAGTTGCTGTAGTTGGTGGGTAGCTTTCTCTTTTCCAACGGCCGATTGAATTTACCTGGAGAGGTCTTTTGCCAACATTACGTCACCAGACTCCTCTGCTCTTTGACGTGATTCCAATAGGTTCCAGGTTTCGGCTGAGAGACACGGTTTCTTTTGGGCAGGGGTATCTGAGTCAGGTTTTTCTTTGCCGATTCTCTCTAAAACTTGTGCCAGTAGAAAGAGAGGTTCATGTCCATTGGATCCACTGAATGGATCGAGAATCTATCCTGGGACTGGCATCTTTACCATGCATTGGGAGATTGGGATGGTTTCAGGGGTCACAATTACTTGGTAAAGTCTTGTACAGTAAGTACTATACTCATTTGGGTCAATGTCACCGGTTTGGCTTGGTGAATTTAGTCAATTTATATGTAATTACTATATATAGAGTATTATAGAGATTTATAGAGTATATGTTATATATAGTAGTGTAGTACTGTACTTAGTACCAGGATTTTTGGCAGGGACCTTTTTTGAGATAGCAGTGGCTGAGGTCACTAACAGGTCTTGAAAAGGACACGTACAGTATACCAATCCTGAAGAGGTCATCTTCACGGGCCACGGATCCTGGTATACTCCCATCTGTTCTTCGCCGAAGACTCGACAATGACATCAGAATCAGTCTGGGCACTCGCAGCGATAGGTCTGGGCACAGGCTTGCTGACATTCTAAGGCACCTTGGGAGTTCCGGACCGGACCATCGTTCGAAGAGACCGCAGTCCATCCCTGCAAACGCCCACTGTTCTCACCCCTCAAGTTAGGCTGCATGCTGCCAATCAATGTCGTTTCATGCCTTTCCCACTGTCGACATGGACAACTTTCGCACCACTCCGTTCGAGTTGACATGTCTCTTCGAGTTTGAGGGTGCCTTGAGATGCCGAGTTGTCATGGGGGCTGGTGGACCCAAACGCAAGCGACTGTGCTTCGTTTTAGGTCCTCCACATCTTAAGCTAATCCCAAACGAATCTGCCAAACCGACCCAACGCTAGGTGCTTTCCGAGAACCTCCTGAACATCAAACAAATCACACATCCACTTGCAATTGAGGTGTTGTCGGTGTTGCTTCCTGAATGTTGTTTTGCAGAAAATATTAAAGAAAACAACACATCACATCCTTTTCCATGGCTGTCTTTCGACACGATGTCCTTACTTGACTAAACTTTTGACTCAGTGACTAAGACTATAGGCATCAAATTGACTCCAGCACCGGAGGGGCCGCAACTGGGGACAACGGAACCTGACAGTTCACTGTCCCTTCGGAACTCCGGAACACCACGCCGAAGAACAACGGCCGACGGATGGAACTTCACCGGTCCCGACCCGGGGTCCGGTCTGATTTCGGAGCGATTGGGAGGCATGATTGGCAGTTGAGTCCGTTTGCCCCCACGGACCTCTCTACTCTCAAAGAGCACTATTGTCCTTGCACCTGGAACCGAGGTCTCCGAATGATTTGGCTTCGCGGCTGATCTGGAATCTGGGATCCCTCACTACTGTATCTGGCTTCTCGCGCGTGGGGAAGGGAGAACATGCCATCCACTTCCACCTCGGCCGCTACAGCTCGCGCGGCGCAGCTGTGGAGGCGAAAACCGTGAAACGTCTCCAAACCCACTGCAGGCCCCCAACAGAACGGTCTCATTGGAGTGGCTTCATGAATTGGCTGGGCATGTCTGGGCTACAGTACCGAACTAAAACCGTTAGACCTACCAACCGCCCTGATACCCGGCTGGTTCCTCAAACATCCCCTGGGAAACATCGAGACCAAAACGTTCGAGTTTGGGTTAGTTTGGAGCCCCAAAGGATGGGAACTTGCTCATCCCCTTTGATGCATCAAAAACCAGAGATGGGAACTGTTCCCTTAGATGGGTCTCATCCCTTTGATGCATTGAACAGATGGGAACTGTTCCCAAAAAGTGAATCCCAAACCTTTCCACGGGAATATCCCTTCACAAGACTGGACATACCGGGACCTGGAAAGTGTTTTTCAAGACGGCAGAATTGAGAGCGGTATCATATTATTTGTCTATTTCTGCCACCTTGTAAGTTGTGTTCTGGATCCTTTTCCCCAACCTTCTTTCGCCTTACATAGTACTGTTTCAATTGTTGGCATATGTACCTCCTGAGCGCCCAACACTCAACTATCTTCATCTTGCTCCATCCTCTTCTTACAAACAAGCCGTTCTTGTTCTATCCAAATGTTCCATTTCGAGTTTCCATCATTTCCCATATGTCAAGGTCCGGCGGAGAGCCGCCATGTGTGGCGGTCATCCTCAAGTGATGGCCGTTTTCACCTCGCAAAAGATAAGAAGAACCTCCTTCATGTCCCAAGGTCGTGGACCCAAGTTCCGCATCTTTCGATGAACGAAACGGACATCTTTGGACTTCCCAAGGTCATCAACCACTCGTCGGACCCCAGCACTCATGGCATCGATTGGATGCTTCCGGTGAGATGACTCCATCGTTGAAATTGACCATCGAAGCCTAAGAAAGCACATATGACCATCCTCACGTGCACCACACCAAACACTGACCCGAACTGACAGGTAGTAACAGCACCAACAAAACTGCCCAAACCACACAAACCCTCCTTCAAACTGACAGGTAATTAGTAAAACAAGTACTAAGTACTGTACCTGAACTGGAACTGCCCCATCCAAGCCCAAACCCATCTTGTGTCACCAAGAAACAAAGTATGTCAGGTTCTTGAAGCAGCTCTCGTAGCCTTCTGGAATGAGCTCCTGAGGAACTTGGCCAGCTACACTCACGGGTGCTGCGGGCCGAAACCTGGAGATTTTCTACCCCAAAACTGGCAACTGGAGAAGCAACTGGCACCATTTGGTAGGTGTTGGTAGGAAACAACATGTCCGGTTTCAGCATGTTTCACCGACCTTGATCATATCGTTCATTCCAAACAAAAAGGTCAACACATGTGCAGCGGTCCAAAATATGCTAGCCCTTCTGCTGCCATGGAATCGCTCTTCAAGGTGTCCTGTCACTCCACACAGTCCAAAAAAAAGACAACAATCTCTCTCAAACCTGAGGATTCTTTGTGGTTCCGTCTTAGAAGCTACTGTAAGCCATTGTTTCAACATGTTTCAACAAATTGCAAAGGCCTTGGACAAACTCTTTGCTGCTGGGGCTCTACACATGGGGAGGTGGCTAGGACTGGACTTCTGAGGTACCTTTGCAGGTGTGGTTTGGTATTGGTTTGAGTAATTTTGGGTACCGGTATCGCCATCGCTCTAAAACCATTGTTGTTTGTTTCCAAAACATATGTCAAAATATCATTGGCCTATTCCTGGAACAGCTATCATCGCTCTTCAGGGTTCCCTATTTCTACACAGTGATAGTGATTGCAAAGCTTTACAAAGTTGGCCACTGCTCACATGATACTCACAGTGATCATCATTGATCATCTCCCAGGGATGACGATCCCATGACAATCCTGTTTGGAACGGTGCTTTCTGAACTGTTTACTTCCTGTAAAGCAACAATGCTTTTTAAGCCAAATTATATACGACATCTTTGCCTAAACAAACTTGACGACCACATCCTCAAGCCCTCCACCCATACAATACGAACCAAGCCCACTCTCCGTGAGGGAGACGATGGCCGCTTCATGGGCGAAGGATGGCACCTGACGTCTTTTTCCGTGGACACCGTTTCGAGGCAAACCCGTTTCCTGGTGTCAAGTTGATGAGCCTATTCCGATGTTAATTTGAACACATCTCTTCCAAAGTTGAAATCCTTGCGAAGAAATGGGAGGTTGCAAAATCCAACTTTATTGAGACATTGACATCACCCTGGTTGGTGAAGTGCTTGCTAGCGCCTAGCGGCTAGCGGCCTGTTGATCTTGTTGATCTTGCTGTGCCTATATATTCTTTGCAAAAAAGAAAAACACGCACGACCCATGACCTGAACCTACTGCAAAAATCATGCAAATCATAGATCTATGACGGCGTCGGCGTACGCACCTTATTGCATCTTGCTGGCGGTTGGTTCTGTGGAGAAACGGGCACACCGTGGACGATTTCCGCTCGAGCTCCGCCTTCGCCGCCGTTGGTTCCGGGCTCCTCCGGAGGAAAAACGGGTCCAAGGCACCCGGTGATGGTGATGGTCCGGCGGTCCGCGGTCAAAGAGCCCGTTGGACTGGAGCTGGTCCAGTTTGGACCAGGTCAGTTTTAGGGTTTTCGCGTTTTCGCAGGGCGCCAGTGGGACTTGTAGGGAAAAAAGGTTTTGCTCGGTCGATCAGCGCATAGGTTCCACTGCGGTTTGGACCCCACGGACCCCGCGGCTTGGTCTCGATTTTCCAGCCAACCACCCATGCAGTGGCTTCTGGGGGTTCCATGTCGGTCCTCTGCAGGGGTGCATATCCCTGGCCCATTGCTGCCATTGCTGGTGGTGTTATACACCCCTTTCCTCCGGTGCCTTCCTGTCCTCCGAGCAGACCAGAACACCGCGGCCACCAGCAACGCGCTCACGGCCACTCCTGGAGGGTGCCAAACCAAACGTGAGGAGATTCAAAAAGAATTTTCCTGTGGGTCAAAATGAACCTGGTTGATTCAAAAGAATTGGGGATGTTAACCTCCCATGGTTTGTAGGCAATTGTTGCTCCTGCGAGGCGAACTCGCCAGCTCCTCGAACTGGAGGTCGCTCGCTCTTCGTGGCCTCGGGAGAGAAAGAGGAGAACGAGGAGCAGTAGATGAAAAGCCTTGGAAAAGGCCCATGAAAAATCCAGGGACCCCTCCAAATGATCCGAAGATGGATTGAAAGGCATGATGAAAATCAATGGACCCGCCATGAAACTTGGAGGGACACAAGCCAAAGCAAGTCCCGATCCAATGAACGCTGCTCTACCAAGTCACTCCAACCTCAACCCAAAAGGGGTCTTGCGCGGACGCAAAACGGCACGCAAAGCGGCTAGGCACGCGAGAGCCCTGGGCCGCGGACCCTCTTCTAAGAGGTGCTCCTCCTCCATAAAGTCCATGGGAGCACCTCACAGAAAGGAGAAGCGCAGCGCGAGAAGTGACTGGATCTATCTCCGATTGCGAGCGGCTCTTTTTGGTACATGAAAAACATCCCGCCTGCTCCGAACCACTTTCAAACACGAGGTGGTCAGTTGCACCTGGTGTCAGAAGCTTCGTGTGCTACCCAGTTGGGCCTCCTGCGTGGCTCCTGCTTGGCTCATTCCCAAAGAAGTCACCCAACATTGACACCCCTTGGTGATCTCCCTGGCCCGAACAAGAGGGCCCTTGGAAATCCCTGACCCTCTTTTCGATTGGACAACAACCAGAGAACCAAGGCCGCACCGATGAGGCTCAGAAAGGATGAGGCTCGGATGATGTGTGCATGTACGAAGCTTGCCATTTCATGAAGGAACATCTTCTCTGACCTAATGTGGACTCCTTTGCGCCTCTTTTTCAACCCCCTCGATGTGAAGAGTGTCTGCCAACTTGGGGAGTTTGTTCACATCAAACGGTGGAGAAAAAGACGGATGGGAATGTCCTCCCCTAAACATGTCACTCCCTGCAACCAATTCATGCAACTGGAACAGTTGTCGGCCTCTGGACGACCGGACCCGCGACTAGCTTTGCCTTAGGGGTCCTGGTCAGCGGACGGGACGGAGGATGCCACCGGAACCGCCCGACAAACCCGCTTTGCCTTAGTTGTAATGGAACGTAGAAACCGAACGCAAAACGAACACTTGGAGAGGGGGTTCGTATGGTTCGTAGAAGGTTCAGGTTCGAACAGTTCGGCCTTTTGCAAGGACACCCATATGGACAATCTACTCCTACTTGTCAAGGGAACACAGTCCTCACGGTCAGTGCAGCCCGACCAGCTCCCTAACTCCCTGGAACTCGTCTCTCACTGCTGTGTAGGCACGAGAGGTGAAGTCGCCCGAGAGTCGAGCTACCGGGACGACCTGCTCAGGTCCTCCATACGACCTAGCTAGCTAAGACCTTGAGCCAAGGAGTTTGCATCAAAAGGGCTTTCAAAAAACTTTCAGGCTCCCAGGTCCTCATGAGATCGATCGTGGAATTCCGAGGTCCTTCGGAATCCTGGGGGCTCATGACCCTGCGTGAACCTGCCAACCCGGTCATATATGATTCTTGGGGTGTTGGATGGGTGTTGGAGTGTTGCGAACAACAACATCTACCCCCGCGCGGGGGAAACTCCATTGGTTGATCCCTTCAGCGGCACGGCTCGTCTGGGGCGAGCTACCTCTACACTTCCCTTCACAAGTCACAGGCTCACCAGTTTCCTTGACAAACTTCACCAAGGAATAAGATTATATCAGTGAACTTTGTAAGGAGCTAGTAGTGGCTGAACTTTCGTTCATATCAGTTCCACAAGTCAATTATAATAAGTTTATATGAGTTCAACTCCACTTGCGAATGGGTCAGTGATGTCTCTGTCTTTCTTTGGGGCATGACCTCACGCCATCCAACCGGAGACCGTGACCAACGTGTCACCGGAGACCGTGACCCACATTGGACGTGGTCCGGGAGTCCCGGGCGGTGTCCCATCCGAAGGATTTTACCACTCAGCTTAGTGGGTCTTTGTGAAAACACACACACATCATATATCATCTATGAGACGGGCGGAACAACTACACAAATCATTTGTGGATTTGCCCCATGCAGATGAAATTTCTGGCCAACTTGGATCCCTGCTTTTGATAACTTGGACCCTGCTTTTGATATGTTTATTAGATAAATGTATCCAAAGGTCATCCCAACCACCAGGTCAGCAAACTCACCGGTTCCTCCTCTCCGACCTCTTTACACCTTGATTTTACAGTAGCTCGTCAATCGAAGAATCAAGATGAGTGCGTCTTCAAATAGGGAGATCTTCCCAGGCGTCCACGCTCCCTCCCTGGAAAATCGATGCAGTCAGCCAGGGCCAGGGTGTCACCCTATTAAAGCACACAGCCATATGGTCCAACACATCTCTGAACTCTGAGATCAGATCATTTCAGTCCCTCATTGAAGCATCCGACCCTCTTTTCAGGGACAGAAACACCTTCATCTAACCTTCCTCCGACCTGCCCATCGGTTCATGGAAGCCGTGAACACCGAAAACCTTCCAAGCTCGGTCCATCCTGTCGGTGACAGTCTGTTCCGGCTGACGCCAGTCACCACCAGTGGCCAGCAGAACCCTGCTGAGAGCTCAGGTTTTTGCGGGGCTCATGTTTGGATATCATCGGACTGATCTGGGTGGTTCTAGCAATACCCCGCCCAGGTTCTTGACGATCAAATCCTCGACCCACTGGGGAGGTATTGTGCCGGAGTGAACCACGGCGCCGCTGTAGCGCGACGTCAGCATGTACCTCTTCCAGCTTGCTTTTGAAGACCTTAGTGTGCATCACATCATTTTTGCACCGCACAAAGTCACAAAGCCTCAGGCATAGTCAAGGACTTCACGTGATCACACTGGATGGTGGTTTCAACTCGATCGAACAAGAAGGATGTCCGCGGATGTCAGTGGGATCAATCATGCCATTTAAAGGTTGAACATACAATCTCTGATACCACTTACCACCACCCAATTTCAAGGTTTCTGGGGCTCCAGGTGTTGTGTCCCGTGACATTTGTCTGCCACTTATCTCCAACGGGTGTTGATGAATGGCGGCTGTGCCGTGCCTCGAGCTCGGTGGAGGAACAGCCGTTGCCCACAACAGGAGGAACATGAGACAGCCTGATGCATGGTTCCCACACAAAGTGTGTGCCTGTGCGTGTGGGTTTGTGTGTGTTTGTCAGATTGGCAAATGGTTCATAGGTTTTTATTTGGGAGGCAATGTAAACGCGTTGCCCACACGAACCTACAGGTGTTTCGTCCATGTCGATGCCTCTTGAATAGCCTAAATACTACTACCAGTGATAAGAAAATATAAGGACTGATGAGGATTGCAACGAGGATATCGACGATCCAATCCCTTCATAGCGTTCATTTCCTATCTTCAACTGCAGTTCATACCCTGAAAATTGGGCCATGTCACCCCGACCAAATACTACCTATATAGTACAACCAATTTACGCTCCCTGGAATCATCGGCGGGGCCAACGTGCATGGGAAAATGGCACCGATTTCGGAGAAAAACATGTTCCTCATGTAAAACAAGGCGTGCACTCTCTCACTCACATTCCATGAGCCCCTCTTGGTAGAGCAAAATGGTGAAGTACGCGCACAAACGGCTGTACTTTTTACAACAAACCTTTGCTGTTGCCCCGGTAAAAAACCATCATGTACAGTATAATTGAAAAACAACTAACAACTATAACAGTATCATTATTTCCAAGAAAGGCCTTGACTCACCATCATGCACTGGGCCCTGGTAGTATAGATCCTTCCAACAGGACCCCGCACTCCATCGGCGTCGCACGACACATCGCCTGGGTTATTGCCGCTTGCGTTGGATGCACCAGGAGTGCTTACCGAGTCAGGTGCAAAATGCACTTGTCATTGTGTATGTTACTAAAAAACAATCAGTAATGGCTTTTACCCGTTATGTAATTGCGTTGCATGTTGCCAGGGATTTGGCTGAAGGCCTCCCGAATTTTAAAAACACCCCTTGTGTGCGATACGAACTAAAGTGTTATGTTATGTCGGGCACGCCAGCCATAGATACAAGGAGCCAAAATAGTTTTATAAAGCAAAAACAAAGCAAAACAAAAGCAAAAGGCAAAGCAAACAAAAAAGCAAAACAATGTAGCTGTGCGTATCTGTCGCTTTTTTTTTCCACTATTTTTTCGCTTTATTTTCGCATTTTTTTCGTTTTTTTTTTCGCTTTTTTCCTAGGAGGGTACAGCAAACACATATTTGTCGCTTTTTTTTAAACAGTTGTTTCGCTTTATTTTCGCATTTTTTTCGCTTTTTTTTCGCTTTGTTTCCGCTTTTTTTTCGCTTTTTGTTTTGCTTTGTTTTTGCTTTTTGCTTTGTTTTTGCATTTTCATTTGCTTTTATTTTGCCTTTTTTTTCACTTTTGTTTCACAAAAAAAAACATATTTGATGGTTGGCCATGTATGGCTGCCATCGCTCAACATAAGTGTTATGTTTATGTTTATGAACTTGCGGTATGTTTATGTTTATGACGTTGCGATCCCGCAAGGGCTCACCTGGTGGTGTCAGGGACACCTCGCGTTAAAATTGCAAAAGGATCGTTCGATTTCAATGACTTTCTATGGAATCCTGGGTCGGTTGCAAACCAAATGGTGAAGGTTGGCTCTTCAATGTTTTCACGCTTCCATGACATTGGAAGATGTATAAACATCACAGCTGAAACAAGTGAACATGTCAACGAAATCTGGCTCGTCAGTGAACGAGGTGCTCCTGTCGCCTGCAATCGAGGCATGGGAAGAAAAGGATATTGCATGCGCCGTCCCGCCCCGAAGAAGGTTTCCAGTCGATGTTTATGCCGACTTTTGTCAAGGGTTAAAGTAACTCAGGTCCTGCCCGAAGAAGACGTACGGTCGGTATTTAAGTCCACATTTAAAGTACATGTGTGGGTTCAGGTCCTGTCCCGAAAACGTCTTACAATCGATCTTTACACAGGCTTACGCACCGCTTCACAGAAAAATGTGTGGGCTCAGGTCCTGCCCCAAGATGTCTTCAAGTCGATGTGGGTGCAGGTTTATGTCCTGCATGTTTCCCCTACGGACTGATGGAAGCGTACTTTCCGACAAGGCTGCGTAAATGTGCGTGTGCAGCGACATCACGTGACTTAGCTCAAATCAACTGCTTTGGGTCTTCGGGTTGCTCCATCGACCGTTTGCAGAGGTGCAGGGGCGGTGTCTTGCAACGTAGAGAGCTCTAATTGAACAAGTTGAATCCAATAGGAATCTACAAAATCACTCTCCATTTCTGACCTCCCCAACTTGCCTTGCCAAATGACCTCCCCTGCCAACTTGATATCCCAAAGACTTCTGGAATTCTCATAGATCCTCACCAGTACGAGTCAGAAGTCCGTGTCTCACCCTTGGCTCCGTG